ACATAGGCAGCACGGTGGCACAACTGGTAGAGCTGCTGCCTCTCAGCGAACAGGTCCCTGGTTCAAACCCCGGTCCAGGGGCCTTTCTGGGTGGAGTTTGCATGTTCTCTCCGTGCATGCGTGGGTTTTCTCCGGGTACTCCGGTTTCCTCCCACAGACCAAAAACATGCATGTTAGGCTGATTGGTAACTTTAAATTGTCCCTAGGTGTGAGTGAGAGAGTAAATGGTTGTTTGTCTCGTTTGTCTCTATGTGGCCCTGTGATGGACTTGCGACCTGTCCAGGGTGTACCCCGCCCCTCGCACAGTGATTGCTGGACATGGGCACCAGCGACCCCCGTGACCCAAAATGGAATAAACGGGTAAAGATAATGGATGGATGGATGGATGGATATATATATATATATATACATATATATATATATATATATATATATATATATATATATATGTGTGTGTGTGTCTTTTAAAACAAAGAAGCTTAAAGTTTATGTTATATATAAGTTTGTATATAAGATATTTCTGGGTGTTAAAAAATGGTTTGTAGAACAGGTATGTTGTTACTATGTCATATTAAAATAGTCACTGCTACTTTCCAATTGCTGCAGCCCATTTAATTGGCTGGTGGTGCATATTTTGTAAATAAACAATGTAATTTAACAAGGATTTTTCAACTATAATCTACAAAGTATTCATTATAAGATATTCCTTGTAGCACTGGGATAAATGAATGTTACATTTGTGTGCTGAACTCCTTTTACAATAACTCGAAGAGCAGCAATTTTGAATTAGGAGGAATATGAGCTGCTCAACTGACTGAACACAGCTGGACTGTCAGATGGGTCTTTTGAATAAAATTAGGAAAACTGCAGCTAAAAATGGCACAGTTTCAAGGACATACTATTGGCAAGATAGCAATACAGTGAGGGATGAAGAAGCCATGTTTCATTTTTGTACCAACTTTAAAACAAACAAAAAATATATATACTGGCGATTTTTAAACTTTTAAAAATTTTATAACTCCTGGATATGTGCTTTGAAAATTACTTACCGGGTTACCCTTGCCATTGTGATTGCGTGAATATGGATAGAAGGCACCCAGCTGCATCCAGCGAAGACACATCTCATACTCTGCTTTGTTAAAAAACCCACATATGTCTGCCCCAGTCTGAAAGAAAATGACAGACAGGCATTAGGGAGCAGATGGAACTACAAAGATCACAGTCAAACAACTGAAACATTTGCTCTGAGCGTTGTGTTCTTTATGTGTTTCATGACCTTGTGGCTACACTAGCGGCAATGCAAATGATTCCCCATATAATGATCAATAAGCTGTCAGATTCTAATTATTGCTTGACACAAGGACAAAGAAAGAAGCAACAGAAGGACCTGATGTTTGAAAGAAAATAATACCCAAGTATTATTACAAAACAAAGGGACAAAAAAGCTATAGATAAAAAAAAAAGGTTACATCTATGACTGCTCAGTTTATTAACAACATACTGTATAGAGATTATGGCAGAAGAGCACAAAGCCAGTCAATTGTATTGCCTCCTGTTAAAATAAGTTTCCAAGATGTTCTTTGATCAGCGGCCTCCCAAACAAAATAGGCCTGCATAAGCTAGTGTAATCCATTTAGACAGGACAAGGTCACATCAATAAGATTTAGTCTTGACAAAGGGAAATCAGATGCTGATACTTACGTAGGAGATGCCAAACAGGCTGAACTCCATCATGCCTGCAGAAAAAACAAAAACATGTTTAGTGTTAGAACTAATCATGGCAGATCCTGTCAATAACAAACAACAGACAGATTGTCATCAGTTATTGATAATAACAATATAATAAATAAGCAATAAACAATATAATAAATAATAATATATAACCTACCTATAATAGATTTGTACAGCTGATCCCAGCTGGAATAGTTGTCTCCCAGCCAATGCCCAGCCCATTTTCCACTGGAGGGATAAGTTGACCTGGTCACCACTATTCCTCTTTTACTTGTCACAGCCATCAGGGCACTGTGCAGAGAGAAACAAAGATTCATCTCACACTTAAATACCATCCATCCATCCATTTTCTTCTGCTTATCCGGGGTCGGGTCACGGGGGTAGCAGCTTAAGTAGGAAGGCCCAGACTTCCTTCTCCCCAGCCACTTGGGCCAGCTCCTCCAGGGGAATCCCGAGGCGTTCCCAGGCCAGCCGAGAAACATAGTCCCTCCAGCTTGTCCTGGGTCTTCCTCTGGGTCTCCTCCCAGTGGGACGTGTCCGGAACACCTCACCAGGGAGGCGTCCAGGAGGCATCCTAACCAGATGCCCGAGCCACCTCAACTGGCTCCTCTTGACGTGGAGAAGCAACAGCTCTACTCTGAGTCCCTCCCGGATGATCGAGCTTCTCACCCTGTCTCTAAGGGAGAGCCCAGACACCCTGCGGAAAAAACTCATTTTGGCCGCTTGTATCTGAGATCTCGTTCTTTCGGTCACAACCCAAAGCTCATGACCATAGATGAGGGAAGGAACGTAGATCGATCGGTAAATTGAGCGCTTTGCCTTTTGACTCAGCTCTCTCTTCACCACGACAGACCTGTACAGCGCCCGCTTCACTGCAGACGCTGCACCTATCTGCCTATCGATCTTAATACCAAACATATATATTAAAGCACCTTCCTCTTCTAATAAAAAAACTTTTCTTATAAAAGTGAATAGTCCTATTAACTGTTTCTAATGGCTGTTCTCTTCTTCAGGGGTTGCCATAGCGAGCAAACTCGAATGAACGAGTTGGCAATTGTTTTACACCGGATACCCTTTTTGATGCAACCTGGGCTCGGACCCACAACCTTAGAATTATAAGACCACAGCACTGACCAACAAGCTACTGCAGTCATTCAATAGACCTTTTAATTGTATTCACTAAAATCTCACTGTGAATTACTCAAAATTGCAATAACAAAATTAAACAATCATTAAATGAACTAGCTCAAGCCTTAGGCATTGCTGGTCTTTTCTATAGCCAACTCTGCACTCTCACTTTTCTGTAATGAGACAAGATTTCTGCTACAGGGACCAATGCACTTTCACATTGGCAATCATTATCATAAAGATTTGATGACCACATTTTTGGGAGGAAGGTACATGTTAACCATCTCCAGAGGCTGGATTTGATATTACATTCTTCGGCAAGTAGAACTTTCTATTTTTTTTTGTCCCCCAATGTGGAGCAAAAAAGGGTATTGGAAATTCTGTCCATCTATGATGTGAGCATCATAGGTCAGAAAAAAAGTGAGTTACCATTGTTCATTTTTATGCATGGCTGCATCTAAACATAAAAAAATGTTTTCTTTCAAAAATTGGGTTGCCATGTCAAAATCCAAGATGGCCACCAGTATAACCAAAACATACTTGTTATTCTTGTTTTTTTTGTTTTTTTTTTCCATACTTTCCATAATAGACTTATTTAGTAGGGTAATTTGATGTTCCCTGTTGACATGGCATGTTTGTTGTGTTCTATCTAATCACACACGAACATATTGTCTCTGTCTATTGCAATGTAATCTTTAAATGCCATTATCTTCATTGATCCAGGAAGCATTTGCATGACTTTCAGTTGTTTTGTAAACTGTTACTTGATTTTACGTTTGTTTGTAAGACTGGTATAGCAATACAAGAAAATCGAAAAATGTAAGAGTATATACTCACTCATAAGTAGGTTTGGCATGGGACCATCCATAAAGGTTGTGGACATCATAGTGTCTGACTTTCTTTCCATTGCTGAGAGTCTGTTCACTGTTCATGCAAATAGTCTTATGGTTTAGGCCAATGTGTTTGGACTCCAAGGCTTTAGGATTAAAAACACAGACATGAATAGACAAGAAAAGTATATTAAGAAGGCTGCATGGTCAGTTATGGCTAATAAATGGCACAACAGCAGCAAGTTTCTTACGTGGCATATATGGTGGGTTCTCTAGAAGGGGATTCCCTAGACACTTTTCACCAGCTGTGCCGTGGACAAAACTGGAAGGTTCATTCATGTCCTTGAGATGAAGACAGAGTGCAGGTTATGAAACGCAAACAGAGTGAGTGAACAATGTGTGCTTGGCTCCATTATTGGTCTTTGCGCATTAGGCAAACTCACAATCCAAAGGCCATCAAACTTTGTCGTCTTCTCATAGAAATCTTTGATTTCTTGAAGCCACCATGCTGCCGTCTCTTTACGGAAGAAGTCTGGGAATGCAGTGAATGACCTGAAGAGCTGGAACATGGGACACTCAAAATATCAGAAAATAAAATGCTGAAAACTGAACTATCACGTGCAATCGTATACACAAGTCTAATTATTATGTTGTGGGTCTTTCTTTGACTGGTTACTGGAGGGAAAAAAAAATATTTAGTAGGTTTTTGGAATGCTTAGTTGTAGGACATTTAAAAAAAAGTATAATTTCAGACCTGCATGCCACAATACAATTGTTCCCAGCAGAACACTGCATTTGATCAAAATGTGCAATGAAACTTACTTTAAAGTATGTTTATATTTCTAAAATGTTGCACACTGTGTTGTAGAAATGTGATCATTTAAAAATATTGTACCTTTATTTGGGTGTCCCAGTCAAGAGATTCATCTACTGTGATGTTAGGAAGATCAGGCCAGACCTAGGAAACAACTAAGGGTCAAATCATTGTAAGCAAATCCCTTCCTCTTGTCTCTAAATCTCTCAGGCATGCAGGATTTTCAGTTATTTTACCACCCATGCCTTCTCACCTTTCCCCACACAATATCATCTCCGAGCTCTTTGGGCCATTTGATGAATATATCGGCTGCTTTTCCTCTCTCGAAAGCAGGATAATTGGTCTCATTGCCTGAAATAGCTGGATCCTGTAATTAAATCCACACTCAGGTAAATATACTAATATTTTAATCATTTAACATTGCTTGAGATATTTCCCAGTTTTACTGTGTGTGACATTATAGATGGAAGTGGGGTTATTACCAGAATGAAGATAAACCTCATGCCTTCTTTTCTCATTGAGTCAACAAGCGCTGGCAGTCTTTTAAAATCTGAGTCCAAGACAAAGTCTAGTTGTCGCTCCATGTAGTCGATGTCGGCATACTGCACATCCTGCAGCAGATACCAGTTAAAGCTGAGATTATTTTCTGCTAACTTGATTGAACAATGAGCTGTACACTCAACTAGAGGTTATTGAGTTCCACGTAGCATACGGCATATACATATTTTAACAATTCATTTGTTATGCTGCACGTAAGTGTATTGATCCCCCCCCCCCCCCCCATGTCTTTCTTTAAGAACAATTAGCTTCCCTGCTGAGCTTGATTATGTATGAGGCTGGCTAGTCTGGAAAGCTGAATAATGTACAGCCTTCTTTTAAAAAGCTTCTATATGAGCTGTCATCCCATTGATGCTGGTTATTTCTGAATGCTGCCAGTTCCTTTTGGATTCAAGTTATCAATAAAATGTCTTACTTTCTGTGCAACCCTATGAAAATTTATGTTATTACTGTTTTTCTTAGACATTTTATTGTTGGATGTAACTGGGACCCCGTGTACATAATTTCGCTCCACCACATGTACCACATGAGGTGCGAATGACAATAAAGAAACTCTGACTCTGACTCTGACTCTGACTTGATAGAATTTTCCTCATGGTTTTCCAAAAAACACCATCAAATTTAAATACTGTATTTGTTGCTACAAATTTGCTTTTACACACTTATTGTTAGGTTAATTTAATTTTAAGAAAGATGTATCTAGTACAAACTGGCAATATGTAGAGATAGTGAAGCCTACAATAGATTCACGCATGAAATTGTTTGGTCACATTTGATTAGGCTATATTGGATGTAGTTAAGGTAATCCACCAAGTCCATTTTACATCATCCAAATAACTACCGACAAGGTCATATCATCACATCTAATATAGTTATAGTGCACATTGAGTAATGATATTGTCAAATCTGAGTGTGCAGCATGTTAGATTCAGTTCAGTCTGTTCCACTGACGGGATGTCTGTACAGTCCAGTCTTCTGTGGACAGGAAGAAGCTTTCAGAATAGATTTGTTTAGACAAGGACAATGGGATGATTCTTTTGCTGAGGTACAATCCAAATGAAATTGATGTCTCGGCAAGAACAGGCAAATATACGTGGGATAAACTTGGAGCAGATGTTTGTAAGATGTATCAGTGATGTATGTTGTCAAATTTATTTTACTGCAGGTACATTGTTTAGTACTTTACATGGCATGAAATCCAGTGGTCTGGGACTAAAGTCATGTTTATTATTTTAATGTAAAAATGAAAATTTTAAGAACATTCGGACATTTAAAAAAAACGTTTAAAAATGGCATATTGTCAATTTATTTAACAGGTAAGAATTTTTCAATTTTCCTTTTTGTTTTATTGTATTGATTGCTAGCTGTAATGTATAAGAACAAACAAACAAACAAACAAAAAAGCTTTCTTTGATATATTTATAATAATTCATAATATCTGGTATTGTTCTTAAACTGAACCCAGGCACACCTAAAAGTATTTGGAACTTACATAAGGAATACCAGCTGTCCTCATATCTTTGTACAAACTTTCAATTTCTGAGTCATTGGCATAACCGTAGCGACAGAGTTGGAACCCAAGGGACCAATAGGCAGGTAAAACAGGTCGTCCAATTAGCTGTGAACAGGGAAACAAACTAGAAAGTCAAAACACAAGAAAATTTTTTTTTTTTTTTTTTTTGCAGAAAAACAGGACACTGTCCATAAAATGTTTGTTTGTGTGCATGTGTGTTTTAGTTGGCTATATGGAAGAGTGCAGCGAAGCAGGAAACTCCCAGCTGCTCCAGTCCAGGGACAGACCCAAAACACACATGCTCACACAGCCATTGACACATAAACAGGGGTGCTTGAATGTTTGTGTACCATTTAGAAATGTCTTTATTTCTGCATAAATATGACCTCAAACATCATCAGATTTTCACGCAGGTCCTCAAAGTGGATAAAGAGAACCCAGTTAAACAAATGAAACACAAATATTATACTTGCTCATTTATTTATTGAGGAAAATGATCCAATATTACATTTTTATGAGTGGCAAAAGTATGTGGACCTTTGCTTTCAATATCTGGTGTGACCCCCCTGTGCAGCAATAACAGCAACTAAATGTTTCTGGTAACTGTTGATCAGTCCTGCTCACAGGCTTGGAGGAGTTTTAGCTCAATCCTCTGCACAGAACAGCTTCAACTCTGGATGTTGGTGGTTTCTTCACATTAACTGCTGCTTCAGGTCCTTCCACAAAATTTGGATTGGATTAAGTTCAAGACATTGACTTGGTTATTCCAAAACATTAACTTTATTCTTCTTGAACCATTCTTTGATAGAACAATTTGGGATCTGAGGGTCATTGTGTTGCTGCATGACCCACCCTCTATTCAGATTCAGTTCATGGACAGATGTTCAACATTTTCCTTCAGATTTCTCTGGTATAATTCAGAATTCATTGTTCCATCAATGATGGCAAGCCATCCTAGCCCAGATGCAGCAAAACAGGCCCAAACCATGATGCTACCACCACCATGTTTCACAGATGGAATAAAGTTCTTATGCAGAAATGCAGTGTTTTTATATATCCAAACACAACACTTTTCATTTAAACCAAAAAGTTTTATTTTGGTCTCATCTTGTCCATAAATTATTCTTACAGCAATCTTCTGGCTTGTCCACGTGATCTTTAACTAACTGCAGGTGAGCAGCCATGTTTTTTTGGAGAGCAGTGACTCCTTCAACCCTGCCATGAACCATTGTTGTTCAGTGTTCTAATGATGGTGGACTCATGGACATTAACATCAGTCAATGTGAGAGAGACCTTCAGTTGCTTAGAAGTTACCCTGAGATCCTTTGTGACCTCCCCGACCACACACATTGCTCTTGGAGAGATCTTTGTTGGTCCACCACTCATGGGGAGGATAACAATGGTCTTGAAATTCCTCCATTTGTCCACAATCTGTGTGACTGTGGATTGGTGGAGTCCAAACTCTTTACAGATGTTTTGTAACATTTTTTACCCTGATGAGCATCAGCAACTCTTTTTCTGAGCTCCTCAGAAATCTCCTTTGTTCCTGATGATCCACTTTCACAAACATGTTGTGAAGATCAGACTTTGATAGATTATGTTCTTTAAATCAAAAAGGGTTCCCACTCACACCTGATCATCATCCCATGATTGAAAACACCTGACTCTAATTTCACCTTCAAAGCAACTGATAATCCTAGAGGTTCACATACTTTTACCACTCACAAAAATATAATATTGGATCATTTTCCTCAATAAATAAATGACCAAGTATAATATTTTTTGTCCCATTTGTTTAACTGGGTTCTCTTTATCCACTTTTAGGACTTGTGTGAAAATCTGATGATGCTTTAGGTCATAGTTATGCAGAAATATAGAAAATTAAAAATAATCCACAACCAATCAAGCACCACTGTATGAAACAAAGTAAAGGCATCCAACAAAAAACAAAACAAACAAAAAAAAAACTTACTGCGGTGTACTCCTGCACAACCATTTCAGGCGTTGGTCCCAGGACCATGTAGAAATCCAGAATGCCTCCTATAGTGCGGTAGGTTAAAGATGGAGTTGGCTGGAATGTAACATCTGCACACAACATAAATAAGACAGTCAATTTCATTAAAACTTCAAATGAATTGCTAAGTAAAACTTATGTAGTTTTGTGCAGTTATTTTTATTCATCTAGTTATTTTGGAGTTCATATAATAGATTATTTTTTGTTCTTCCATAAGACTCCTAACAGCTGGACCACAAGTACTTGGGTCTATGTTAAACTTCGTAAATATAAGGAATGAAGTGGATACTTAAAAGTTTGGTTTTTAAGACTAGACAGCATGAAATTGAGGTCAGGCTAAAGAGTTTACTTGTCATGTGATTACCCTAAAAGTAAAGTGTATTTGACTGTATTCTATCAGTGGATGGTTGTCACTAAAACAACGAGAAACAAAGGTGTGTGTGGGTGTATGTATTCAATGTGTATCTTTTAAAGAAAAACAGTTTTTGTCTTACCCATGGCATTACTATTTAGCAACAGTATCCCATGGGCATCTGCAGTGTTCTCAAGGCCCATATAAAAGGGATGAACACCGTAACAATTCATCTTGTACTGAAGCAAAGAGAAAGACAAAAAGAGCATCACAAGTAAAACTGTTGAACTTTGGATGTCCTGACTTAATTTTTATTGTTTGTACTGAGACCAGCTTAGTTTTCTTACAAACACATAGATGTTGTGAATGAAAAAATTTCTGTGCATACGAAGCTTCTGACAAACGGTTTCTGCTCGTGTCTGTGTTCTGAGTTCAGCAGACATCAGCTGCTTCTGGGTCAGACAGCTCAAAACGCTTTGAGCTCTCCTGGATTTTTCCATGAGGTACACATGAGGTACGCCACAGGGAGTGGTGGCACAGAGGTTAGAGAAGATGGGCCTGTGATCAGAAAGTTGCAGATTCAACTCCCCGGACTGACAACATCAAAATGTGGGTGGAAAAGGTGAAACACCCACACCTGCCTCCGCCCTAATTTTCTCCACTCTGGGCCCTTGAGCAAGGCCCTTAACCCCCACCATCTGCTCCCAAACAGATCTATCTTTAAAAACAAGTTCTCATGACTCAGTGAGACTACCTGTATAAATAAAAGGTAAATAAAAAAATAATAAAAACACGAGACCAATGACGTGTAATCAGAGTTTATAAATACGGAGGAGTCTGAGTCTTCATTAACTCACTCGTGGGCTGACTGTCATGTCGGTATTTTGACCGAGTTCCTTTGCAAAGATAAATGAACTTAAAGACAAAGATTGTTTTCTCACCTCAGAACAAGAGTCAGAACAGAAGCATTCCAATCACAGTGTCTCGTTAGATTTCCAATAATCAGAAGGAAACAACAGAGCAAACACTCTGCATTAAAGGTGACTGTGTGATTCTGCAGACATAAGTTCAGGACAAATGACAGTTGCTGCTGACTGATACTCAGATAAATACTCAAGAAAGTACTGAGCTTTTGGACAAGAACAGAACTAGAAAGAGAGTAAAATAGAGCAAAGATGTTGGAGGTGAGGAAATCTGACACTTCAAGAAGTCATTGTCCTGCAAAGACAAGTGGAGCATTTCACTATCAGCGACTTGCACTTTAGCTACTCAACAAGCAGCTAAACTTCAGCTCAGCGGCTCTGAGGGCTGCTTCTCCTTGTTATTGATTTGTAAAGCTGTGTGATTTTTTTTATTTTTTTTATTTTTAGTTTGCTCAATGCCACCATACTATATGGAGTAATGTTGCTGGAACAAAGAGGGATATTGTAATTTATGTATCCTTTAACAACTGGTTTCAACTAGTTGAAATATTTTTCACTTTTATTTTCTGATTAAAATTGAAAATATATTAAAATAAATCTATCTCATTAAATGACAAAAAAACTGACTTTCAGAACTAATATTTTCATTATAAACAAACTGGATTAAAGTCCCAAATCAGTATCTACTTTCAGAAGAGCCCATGGCTTTAAAAAGTCACAGTATCGAAACAACTTAATGTTTCAGTCATCCAGGTGAAGCTGGCTGGATTGCTTTTAATCACATGCCAGAGACTCCATGGTGACAGTGTCATCATTGTGTAACCCTTTCTGATGATAACATTTGTGCTCTGCATTTGACCCATCACATGTGAGATACACCCATGTGAAGCAGCGGGCAGTGCCTGGGGAGCAATGAGGGACTAAGTGTCTTTCAAGGTCATCGAGGATACCTTGACATACAGACATGGTGGGGAGTCAAACTTGTGACTTTCTGGTCCCAAGTCGGCTGCCCTACCGCCACATGTGCCCAGGTTTCTTTAGTTTAATGCAATACAGAGTTGTACTCCTCCTCCTTTGTCTGTTACTGTAAACCGTCAGTCAGCTGTTGACTGATGGATTAAGATTTTTATTTGTATAATCTAATCAAAGTTATAACAATATGTGATATAATTTGAACTGCATTAGTAATAGTAGTTACATTTTTGTTTTTAAACAAGTGCTACTTGTAGCTACACATTAAAATGGAAGTCGGTACCTCACTTTCTAGGTAGCATGCTCCAACATGGATGGACTTTTATGGTGGCAGGCAGTCATCTTGGATTTTACCATGGCAACCCATTTTCCAAAAGGAATCGTTCTTACGTCTACATGCAGTGACACAATAAAATGCATTTATCTGCCCTGTTTATTGTTCAAGTTATCCAGCTCACAACATTCATGGACAGACAGACGGAGGGTATTTCCAATTCCCTCTCTTCGCTTCACGACGGGGGACAATACATGCAGCTAGATTATGCAGTGTACACGTTTTTCTTCTTTTTTACTCCTTTATTCACAGATCACCACAACAAGCTAATTCAAACAGAGATTTGGAAATTGTTTTAATGTCAGATGTCCTTTCTGACACAAACACCAACCTCAGAGCTGCCACAGCACATATGTTGAGAAAAGGGTTGCCATGCAGGGTGTCCAGGGGAGCAGATGTGGGGATTATGGGTCTTGCTCAAGGGCCCAGAGTGTGGCAAGTGAGGGTGGAGGCAGACGTGGGTGTTTCATATTTCCCACCCACATTTTGATGTAACTATCAGTGCATTTGAACTGGCAACTTTCCGTTCACACCTTCTCTAACCTCTGAATCCCCGATCATATAGTACATAGTCCATTTAATGTTTCCTTACAAAATGCCATGAAACTGTGGTATTTTGTCTCAAGGTTAAAACACCATTAAAATTTTATAGAGGCTCACAAATATTTTGGATGATCAAACATGTAGTAATATATCAAAGAAAGTGTGAATACAGGTTTTTTTTTTTTTGTCTCTTTTCCCCCTAACTCTAACCCCAGGGGCCCCATAACATTTGTTTGAACCCTGTAGAGCTGTCTTGAAAGCTCAGCAATTATGCTTGATATTGCTGATCCAGGTAGAAACCTTGTCCTCTATGGCCTTGACACTGTTAAAAACAAACATGATGACGCTCCAAAACTGGGCCTCATATCAACAGAACCACATCAAAGTGACATGACTGAGAGAAAGACAAGTTTATGTACTGTGCAAGGAGGTTGTTTACAAGTCACCTCTGCAGTCTCTGGAGGGTGTGATGTTAAAAAATGTTCAGCGTTGCTATGTAATATTGCATGCAAGCACTGGGACGGAGCTCGCCAAACTTTAAAACTCAGAGGTGAAACATGTTGTTTGGAGGGTACAACTGTGTGATTTAATGAGTTTTCAGACAGTTCTTGAGGTAGGTAATATGCTTGTAATATTTGCACCAAAGACAAAAATAGAAACTCCAATTGAATCATTCCTGGAGGATTTCTATATTCATTTTTAATGTGTGCATGTTGGCAGCAGTGCTGTGATTTCATATGATACTTACACCAGGAGGCTGATCCTTGGAGAACATACCCCAAGTGTGATAGTTGAGATCGTGTTTATAGGTGGGATGCTCTGTTTCTCCGAAGCCGTACACAAACTCTGATGCCAGCCGAGTCGACACTTCGATGTACATGTCTGAAAAGGTGAAACCTGGCACGGAGGAGTCCCAACTATGCAAAGTGACAGGATTAAATAAGTGAGAAAGAGGGTGGTAGAGGGAATTATTGTCAAAGACACTTACTCAAAATGTCTTATATTTAATACGCATAATAACCCACAGGAATTGCAGCCTTCCCTTTGCTATAATTCATAAATTTTAATTAGTTAAACTTGGCTTGACACTTAGGAGAAAAAAAATGCAAAAAACATAGACCCTAACTACAAAATAATGACACCCTTGCTTTGAGACATGCCTGGAATAAACTCCAATGCTTTGCTGCGTTGCATGACATCATTATAACTGCTGAACAACAGGGAACTACTTTAGGCATCGACTGCACCAAACTTCCCTGAGCATATCTAATTTGGCAACAAAACTTGAAGAGTTGAGTCAGCACTGTTACATTAATCTCACAGGAGAAGAAAAAAAATAAATAAATGTCTGCAGTTTCAAAATAGATGAAAATATATTTTGTGATGTCTTAGTTGATTGCGTTTTAATATGAGCAACAAAAGTACTCAAAAACATGAATCACCCATACGGGGGCATTTTATTTTAAAATAGCAAAACATATTATGAAATGTAGGAGCTGAGCTATAATATGACTGAGTCTACACAGATACCATAATACTTTCCTTAGGAATTAATTTAATTGATAAAACACTCAAGACATCTTACTAGCGATTTAGGCATCAACATGAACTTGCGTTTTACTGAAACACTCACATCTTGGTGCCTGTGCTTTTCCTTACGACCTGGATGCCAAATGGCTGGGAAGTAACCGAGACCTTATAAAGCCGTTTGGACTCATCAGTCTCAGGAGTTGTAGGAATGGACAGAGGCACTGGTACCTCATAGCGATCAGAAGTCGGGTCCCAGATCTGACACCAAGAAATTAGTACGTCAGTGTAATTGTATACATGCATTTATATAAGGCTGGTAGAAAAGTAAATAAATGAGACTGAATGAACATAAATTTAAGGAGTAACTTATATGTACACACCTTGAACTGGACCATGTCACTGCTATGATACCGAACCTCAACACGGAGGTTGTTAATGTCCGGCGACTCTGGACGACCGCTGGTCCTGTATTTCATGTTCCGAGTGATATCAAGGGTGATGCCAGAACTTGTTTCTGTACTTGTTTTAACAGTGTATCCATAGTCTTCTGGATAGTAGCACAGTGGAGCACCTGGTATAGAGGTTAACTAAAAAAAGAGTGAAATAATTTGAAGGATTATGGCGAGATTAAGGAGATGGGAATATTTTAAACATTAGAGTGATTCCCCACCTCCCAGATGCAGCCTCTGGCCTTACATTTGGCCTCATCTGCACCCTCTTCTGGATGGCAGTTAAAACGTTCATACTCTGCAGGCTTCATATCCCACTTGACCTGATAGGTGTCCCCCAGGGTCAAGGACAGATCACTCAAGATAAGCACCTGTGCATTGAGAATATAATTTACTGTAAACCAACAATGGAAACTTGCCTCCGAAAAAAAGTATCTCAACAGAACAATACATGCAGCACTTTTCTAACTTTATTAAATTCAGTTTTTTTGTTGTTGTTTTTTTTTCTTCAAATGAATTATTTTGAGTCACTTTGGTCACAACAGTTGCCATTTGATTAAATATTAACTTGTTTGTAAATTTCTATGATCTGCAATCTTTTTTTTTTTTTATTGAATCCCTTTATTTTGGAACAATACTTAGCTAATAACATTACACAAGACAAACAACCACAAAAGAGGTTATCTTTAAATAAGACAATTTTAAACATACTGCAAATCAAGTAAAAAAAAAATATACAATGTGTATAATCGATATGGGAACACAAGCCATTTCAATCCAAAAATGAAAACTGTGAAGTGGGTTCATGTACTGCAACACTACTGTTACTCTTTGAGTCCATATGTATTTAATGATTTTTGGCATGTGTGAGCCGTTTTCAAGGTCTGAACTGGGCTTACGAAGACTAATGGTCACGACAAGCCAGAGTTTAAGTTTAACAGCACATTTACCCTTCACCCCCAGGAAATGATTACCACAGAGAATCATTTGATAAATGCATGCTTGTGTGAGTGACCAGAGAGACCTTGAGGATCTATACAAGAGCATCTGCAGCCACATACACATGAGCGTGAGCGCACAAGCATGAATACACAAGCGCACAAAGGAAATCTCTACAGCACTACTTCACTGGGCCTCTTGACACTTTATAAACTCTTGCCTTTTGCTCATAACCATGAAAGCCTATTGAAGAATCATTGTTCTTGGGCATTTGCTTTCACTCTTTCTTTTGGCTTCCCACACAGATAGTTCCCACACGCAAACATTTACAGAAAGCTCTTATGATCCCCAAATAATATAAATTGTTGTCATTTTATACAGAGGCCAACCTTCAAATGCACAGCTCTGATTTAATTCCAAGTTTTACTGAAACAAATGGTTGAAGTGAGGCTGCGTTAGACTCGCTCGAAACTGCAACTTACCCACAGAAGCACGACGTGATACAACACAATAAAATACTTTAAAACATGTGCTTGTTTAACAGTTTCAAAATTACATAATGCAAATCATTTAATATTAAAAATATAAACAATTAGTTGCATTTACTTGTAAAAATCTTGATTAGAGTTTGTCAGTTTTACAGGTTTAGGCATACCAGTGTACAAATATAAAGATAGCAATATAATTGTTTTACATATCTTTAAAACATCTGCTGCAAATCTAACCCTGAGCTGAATAAGCTGAAACAGTAGTTACATATATATAAAGATGAACAGTGCACTCACGGAAAATCCCTCTTCTGCTGCTATTTCTACATTGTAGCAGTATTAGTTTCTCTCTAGCAATACCTACTGTTTAGGAAGGGGGCTACTAGTCTACTAGCCCCTCCCCTTTTAAACAGTAGGCATTACTAAAATCCTTGACTATCAAAAATATATAATTTAATGGTACAATATGTGTCTACTATGATGATGGCACAACTTGCTATCTTAATGACTGCAATGAAATGTATTTATGTTTTTGCCTTGTACAGTGACCTAAAATACCTTAACAAGATAATCTGATCATTTCTGAGTTGTTGTTCTGTCAAATAGTTGTCAGTAGTTAGTACCTTATGAGATAGCAATCATTTATCACAGCATATGGAGAAAAGGACCATCGCCTTTGGTTAGGTTAATGGGTAGCAAAACGTTGGTTACGTACTGTAACCCCAGATTCTATGAGTATAAGCGTAGCCCTTTAAGGCCTTGGCTTTAGTGGGTTTATCCCGTTATGCAGAGCATAAGCACTGAAAAAATTAGTCCACGCCCACCTGCTGTGTGGGCCCCACCCGGTCCGTATAAATTACGTTAAGAGCGGGAAATCGGCTCCCAAAATAGCTTTTTCTTCAGCCATTTAGGAGCCAGTGAGGCCCGACGCTTAAAGGGCTACGCTTATACTCATAGAATCTGGGGTTACAGTACGTAACCAACGTTCTATGTCGTATAAGCTTCGCCCTTTAAGGCCTTCGCTTTAGTGGGTAAAGGGCGAAGCCGATGTGGTCCTCGCCTCACTGGGTCCATTCGAACACAGTAAGAAGCAGAAGCTTGCCCAAAAAAAACGTCTTGTCACTCAGCTCCCCGTGTGCATAACTACGCATCGCGTAATTATGTGCCATGCACAGACGCATGTTGAGTAACTATGCGTTCTGACAAAGCATGAATGCCCCGGAAAACTTTCAACGGGAAGAAGAAGTTGAAAAGAGGGGGGGGGGGGCATGAACCAACTGGGTCATGGCTGAACAGTATAAACAGATTAATGTCCATGAATTGATTATTGATCAAATGAACTGATTGGTAACAATAATCATGAACTGATTAGTGACAATAGAACCAAAATCACAGACACGACTTGTGACTGATAACAACATCTCACACTGTAATGCATGCAGACAGAAGTGAGCTTAAACAGAGTTCCATGAGAACAACAATATTCATTCTGTTAGAGCACTAAGGACAGAATGTGTCATGGAATGAGCCGTTACATCACGTAGGTAAAAGCGAATAAATGAGCAGGGTGTTGACCATGCAGCCGCAGTGCAAATGTCCTGCATTGACATACCATTATGCAGAGCAGTCCAAGATGCGATACCCCTGGTCGAGTGTGCTTAGAGGTTGACAGGAGGCCCTAAATCTGATGCTCTGTAGGCTTCAGAAAAGGCCTCACACAGCCAGTGTGACAAGCGCTGGGTGGATAACGGCGACCTGCAGAAGCATCTCTATAATGCACAAACAATTGTTGAGTTTGAAACGCATTGCAGCTGTGCGCGTTATGTAACACGTCAACGCCCGCACCGGGCAAAGAAGAAGAAAAGATGCTTCCTCTTCTGATCTGTGGGGGGGGGGGAAAGACCCCTCCAACGATATCACTCTTGATTTAAAAGAGCTCGTGATGTTTTAGGCATAAAAGCTGGGTTGGTCTTAAATCAGCTGAGCTGCCCGTCAGCCTAAATTCTAAGGCATGACGAAACAACAGAGAGGGCAGATAATTACTTACCCTCTTAGCGGGTGTTAAAACCAGCAGCAGGGCTGTTTAAAGAGACAATAATTTAAGTGAAACCTGATCCAGAGGCTCAATTGGAGCTTTGATCATGGCTCGCAGGACCAGCGTTAAATCCCACTGTGGATCAAGTGGACGTGAAGCAGGCCTGTGTCTCTGAACATATTTTAGAAAAACGCTTCATCAGCGGGTGATTAAAAGCTGTTCTGTCTCCGAAACCTTCGTGGCAGGAAGAGGTGACTGCAACGTACGTTAAAGCGTACTGAAAACCAACTCCCTATCCATCAGCTGTTGTAGAAAAACAACACGCCGCCTAAAAGGCATGAGGTGGCCTCTAAAACCTCTCTGTACACCAGTGCTGAAAGCTGTCCCCTTTGATGTGTACAGAACTGTGGTAGATGCAGCACGTGAATCTTGAATTGTGCACACTATCTCCTGAGGGAGACCCATCCTCTAAATGGGACCGCTCAGCGGCCAGACCCACAGGTGTTGACCTATTTCTGGGTAACTCTTGGTCGCTCCTCCTGCCTGAAGGAGAGCATCCTCCCTCCACGACAGTTCCACGGCGACCCGACAACAGACGTTGCAGGCCTGGGAACCATGGTGCGTTCACACGCTCGGGAGCCACCAGGAGAGCTGTCAATCCCTCCTCCTGAACTCGGTTCAGGAACCGTAAAAAACAGAGGAGGTGGGGGAAAAGAAACGTGTATAAAAGCGTTTTGGGCCACCGGCTGTGAGCAAATGCGTCCCCCCCCAGCGATGGATCGTCTCGCGGGCTCAGGGAAAACCATAGTTGACACTGAGCGTTCTTCTCGCGTCGCAAACAGGTCCACAGCTGCTTTGCCAACTTCTGCTGCGTCTGAAAACATCAGATCTGGATGGAGGGTCCGGTCCACGTGACGTGGGCCGCCCCTGGACGTCACATCTGCCCCTCTGTTCAGAACACCGGATATGTAAACCGCTCTAATAAAGAGCAGGTTTTGATGAACCATACACAGTAGCTTTCGCACAATGTGTAACATCTGGACTGAACGCACACCCTTTGATGGTTATGTACGCAGCAGTCATCATGTTGTCTGTGTGAATCAACACGTGTTGATTCTGTAGCACGGAAGCAAAGTGTTGAATCACATTCAGTACTGTGCGACACTCCAAAACATTGATGTGGGCTGATGTGTAGTGGGGCCACAGCGCCCCTACTGCTTGAGATAGGCATTTCCCCCCCCCCCCCCCCCCAGCCTGACAGCAACGTGTCCGTGAAGACTGACCCGTGACGTGGGTCTGCTGAGGGGGACTCCCTCTGACAGAAAACAAGGTGTTTCCCCAGAGTCGGAGGTCTGCTTCCACAGAGGAAGGGACAATGATCATCCGTCGTTTGTTTTACTGGATCCACATGCAGACGTGCAAAACACCTCTGGAGGCGTCTCATGTGAAACAAACCAGCGGAAAACACTGTGTGAGTGACATCATTTCCAACAGCTTCATGACGGAGACAGCTGTTATCACTTGCCAGGTCTTACGTGGCTGAGTTGACTTTTTTTTAAAAAGTGTCGAATCTAGTTTGTGATAAACGAGCTTTCATGGTGGTTGAATTTAATTCCACTCCCAGAAACAAATGTCTGGGCCGGGAAAATCGAGCTTCCTTCCAATTTATGGCGAAGCCCAGATTTAACAGGTGTGATGTCAACACCTGATCCTGCATCAGCGCCTCCTGTCTGAAGTGACAGGAGCAGCAGATCATCCAGGTAAAACAAAAACTCTCGTCTCTGTGTTAGGATGATCGGTATGCGTTCTTTGGATGTTAAACAACAGATCCAAAAACGGTCTCACCCCTCCGATCCGTGAGTAAAAACCTTGTGTTTTCTCTCCGTTGGGGAACTCTGTAGATTACTTTTATCAGAAAACACTTGGATTTCTGCATTTAGGGATGAGAATCAGTCTGATGATGACGGGACCGTTTTTTATAACTCCTCTGAATGGAGGGGTT